CCACTCACCGGCTGCGCTCGGGGCCGCGGGTCCCAGCCCCGCACGCCGCGGGGGAGAGCCCCGGGGGACGAGGAGCGCGCAGGGCCACGGCGGGGTCCGTAGGGGCAAAGCTCATTTCAAAATTGCTGCACTGGGGGCGACACCTCTCAAAACCGTGGGTACCGCGGAAGGAAGCGCCGCTCGGGTCTTAACCGGGGTTCAACTCCTCCCATTGCCCAGGCGACTTTGGAGTTCCAGGAGGCCCTTTTCTTCCTTTCTGCTCTGTGCCTTTTGTTTCTCTCGCCTTATTGCATTGTTTGCCCTTATATTTTAAAAAGGAATGATTTTTTTTTCCATCGGCCAGTCAGTCAGCAACCCCAACAGGGTCTCAGCACCCACTTATCTGGCAAGCATGTGCACCATCTGGGAAAAAAAAAAAACAACTGGTGTCCCCTACGGCCTTAACGTTCATTGCCCTTAGTGAAGACGTCGGGCATCGTTTCCTGTTTGCCATTGTTTCCGCTGAAGTGAAATGCCTGTGCGCACCAGGAAATTAGCGACTCCAGGTATTGCTCGGAATTTCTCAGCTGGTCAGGTGTGGCCAGCTAACTGGGTTCTGGCCAGAGGGATGTAAGCTACAAGTTTAAGTCTCCTCGAGGGTTACTTTGTGTCAACTTGACAGGGTTAAGCGGTCCCTAGAGAACTTGTAAAGATTACTGGGTGTGTCTGTGAGGGTCTTCCCAGGAGAGGCTGGCACGTGCCCGAGGGAACTAAGGAAGTTCCGCTCTGACGCTGGCGGGCACCATCGGATGGGCTGCGGCCCTGGCTGCATAAAGCAGAAAGGGCAAACTGCTCTCTCATGCTGCGAGCTGGAATAAGCCTGGACGCCTGCCTCAGAAAACAGGTTCTCCAGGACTTACAGTGGCCCTCCTGGGCTCTTAGCCTTAGGAGCTGAGACTGAGCTTCTCTGATTCTGAGGTCTTCTGAGCGATGTTCCTGGCATCCCTGTCTCCAGCTTGCAAACAGCTCGCTGCGGGACTTCTCAGCTGCCATCATTTTATGAGCCAATTCCTTTGACGAATCCTCTCATATAAATCCATATATATATGCCCTCATGCATCCCTTAACGATAGGGGTCTGTTCTAAAAACGACATCAGGCAACATCCTTCGCTATACACGAATCATAGTGTACTTACACGGTCCTGCATGGTAAACCTACCGCGACCTGGGCTATATGGTATAACTTATTACCACCTTCTGGGACTGTCACTGACATGTGTGTGATGCGTGACTGAACATCTCACTGGGTCTTGAGAACCCTAATGCCATCTCTTTCAAGTCTGGCTACTAAAAACTTCTGTGTGATCCTCTGACCACAAAAGTGCTGCATCAGCTTTTGAGGCCACATGTTCCAGGTGGAAGAGGGCCACTAAAACTGATGAACTGTCCATAAAAATGGAATATCCTTTATACACAGAACATTTTGTCAGCCATTTTTCTTTTTTAATTTCACCCTCACTGTGGTAATTTTTGTTGAGATTAAATTCCATCTGACTTCTCCCCTCCCTCCCATTTTTATTTAATCAAAGCCTGCTGGAGAAATATAACACAGTTAATTCAGTTCATCCTTCATATTGTAATGTACACAGACCTGTGAATGTGATCTGAAAACAAATAAAAAAAATCAAAATGACCAAACAGCAATAAAATGCAGACATCTTTTTCTTTCCTCAGAAAAATCCTTCAACACACAAACCTTAAATCTTATCAGTACATACTCTCCTATGATGAATGATTCAGACAGAGAATGCAAAGAAATTATAGGGGCCAGTCCCAGAGCCTAGTGGTTAAAAGAAAGCAGTTCCCATATGGCCCAATTATGGTTTGAATCCTGGCTCAGTGGCGTGAGAAATACACTTGAGCACATGTATGTGCCCCAAGCTGAGACAGAGCAGAGAAATGGAGAAGGGACTGCGGCATGACCAAGCCCCACTGAGGGGTGCTTTCTCCTCTTCCGGTCTCTCTCTGGTGAACTCATGCACCCTCTGGCAATGAAAAACAATTATACATTGGGACCAGCAGTTAGTGTTATGGCTATGTCACTGGACGCCCATGTAGTTGACCGCAGTTCAAGTCCCAGACCCAGTGGCTTAAACTCACGCTGGGTGTGTGTGCCTGCGAGCCTAAGATCCCAAGAGGAAAATGGAGGAGAAGGGATTGTGGTGTGGCCATCCCCTCCGGGGGGTGATTTCTCACTTTCTGTTTCTGTGTCTTTCTCTTTCTGGCGAGTATACACGCCCTATGGCAAAAACCTCTCCAAAAAAAAAAAATTTTTATGCTAACATGTATAAACTTTGTTAATGAAGAAACAGAAACTGCCATGATTAACAGATGTTGGGTTCCTGATAACTAGTTGTGTCCTAAGGGGCATCATCAAAAGAAATGAATGAACTGCTGCAGAATAAAGCTCTATATAGATAAGGAGAAAATTAGACAAGATAAATGCATACATGTTTAATAATGGGAAAGTCCCAACCCTCCAAAATTTCTCCACATTTCAAACCGACAGTTATTTTGCTCTCAACTGTGAAGATTTAATTCCTCGGGTTTTTGTGTGTCTTGTTACTGATAACTCATTCTTTCAGGGGAGAGATGTTACTGGTTGTGTGTTTTCATGAGAGAGAGAGGGAGAGGGAGAAAACAGACCCTTTCTGTGGAGGTGTCTCACCCTCCTGCAATTTCCCCCCCAGCCTCTCAGACAGGACCACAGGTGTGCTCCTGGGCACACTGGCACATTCAGGGTAACCCGCGATCTGAACCCGGGTCTCCCACGTGGCTCCAGCATCGTGCAGTGGTTCCCTACTGCCTGCACCACCAGAGTTGGGC